TACTGATTGGCTCTTTTTTTGTGTAGTACTCGTGCTATTTACATAATTTCAGAGTCCTTCATGTATCACTGAGCTTACACATGTGACTGAGGAGCGCTTCATGTCGGGTTACTCTGTAGTTATTTTTTCCAGGACTTCCCTCGTGTGAACAGAGAGCGTTCAGAGCACAGCTGGAGGGGCACGACTGTGTGTGTGCGTGTGCAGATATGTGCATACGTGTGTGAGCACAGGTTTGGGATGCTTCTCTCCAGCCCGATCCCACCGTGTCAATATTTACTCAGTATTCTGAGACTTGAAGAAAGGCAACTTGTTTCAATATTTATGGATGTGGTCAAACATTAAATCCTCCCACTCTTTCCAAAAGCCGTGACAGTATGCGTGCACACGCACCGACTGACGGTTAAAAAGTAAAAGAAAACCCCACACTGCTCGGTCAGATCAAGTAATGGAGTTTATTGATATTGGTGGATAAAGTTTATTGATCTAACAGATTGAAAGTAATGATGTTGGTTGTAGAACAAAACCGAGACACAGTTTGGAGTTCCTCCAGTCGCCTGGTTCAAATAGCATTAAACTGTTGATTTTTTCGTTTGTTTTTAGAAGATATGACAAACAGACTTTGTTGGGATTGGAAGAAGATGGGACACGAGGGCGAGTTGCTCAGGAAAATAACACCCTATTGGATAAAATAAATAGATTTGTGTGTTCAAGCGTGGCTTTAAAAACGAGGACAAACAGTGGAAGGTCCAGATTTGACAGCGATAAAATATCTCAGCTAACCTTGTTGATAGTAAATATTTCCACTAAAAGTGGCATTATTTGTATGCTGCCTTATGAAAACGCTTAATGGCACGCAGTGAGGCTGAGACGGAGGAATGTGTTTGTTTTACACTTCTTTCCATGCACTCCCCGGGTCTGGCAGTACTATTGTGATGATAGTTTTCTAAACCGAGCACCTTGAAATGGTTGGCAGAGAAAAAAATAAACTTACAGGAACGTTTCCCTTTTTGGGGAAAAAAAGCAAATACATCATGTCTTAATATTAGATTTCTATTTTGCTACAAGAAGGTAAACGGATGGGTTGGAAAAAGGAAAACCTTATATAACTGTGTAGTTTGAGCTGATTGTGGGTGTCCAATGAATGATCATTATTTTTTTTATTTTTTTTTTAATTGATTAGTGCTTAAAAATACTATTTTTCCAAAGGTTTCATAATCTCATAGAGCAGCTTTGACTTGGGCGGTAAAGGGGAACTTCTACTAATCGGAAGGTGAGTGGTTGATCCCGGCTTTTCCTGTCCACATCCCAAAATGTCCTTGTGCAAGACACTGAACCCAAACGCCTCTGTAATGCCAACAAAACCAGGCTGTTTACCATAAATACCAGGCAATAACTCCAGGACTCCAGGGCTCATTCGGCTGAAGGACTGATGAGCTCATGCCATGGTGAGGCATCAGACATCCATCTGTCTTTCTGCAGTTTTTCCTGCACTATTGGTCAGAATCAAACTTACCAACAATGATTGACCAATGGGTCTTCACCCAAATGAAGCTCAAGGTCACATGTGACACACACACACACACACACACACACACACACACATTTTCCCAGTATTGGTTTGCTTGTGTCGCCCATGTTACCATAATTAATGACTTTAGGGTTGGTCGAGAGCTAAGGCTGAGGTGTAGGTGTAGTATTGAGTCCTGGCAATACTGACTGTAACAGGGCAATGAGCTGGTTTGTCAATCCATTATGACCAGTGTAACTTCAGGTTTCAGTGTTTTAACAGTATGATGGTGACAGATTTTCCCCAGCCTCTGCGTTTTAGATGATAAACCTACTAAATAATCAGGCAGTCCTTGTGTTTTGTACACAGGTCATGAAATAACACTGAACAATTCAGCAGCCACTGAAATTAAATGTGCTGGTGGAGCTGTACCATAATTTCCAGTTCTAATGATGGTTAATGGCCTAATTGCAGGTATCTGGCATAGATGCTCACTGCTGACTGGATCTTCTGTAAATGTACTAAAGTGGAAAGTACAGTGTTTAAATGCATAGCAACTACTACACATGCTTCAAACCCCTCCATTCTCTCTAATTCAATAAGATCTAAAGGCCTTTACACACCGGATGTGTTAAAAATATATATTTTTATGCCACCGTTCACTCCCTGATTCACACCTGTTTATTTGTACACTCAATTAAGACTCCTGACCTCAAACACTCTGATTCACTTGATAAACCAGATTAACTGTGTTGTTGCTTAATAAGAAGGACCCACAGGTAGAGTGCTCAGCTCTAAACCAAAAAAGGTGTGTGATTAAAAAAAACAACTGATAACTCAGCTCAGTCTCAATCTTTTGCTGGGGTGTTTTCCTCCAGTAGGCGGGCAGCGAATGACACAGGCAGGTAAGTTTTCTAGGATAAAGAAGGAGAAGGCAGGTGAGTATAGATTCAAGGATTGGTAACAAGGAAGCATTAAAACACCTAAGCACCTCTACCACACTATATTACTTCTACCACAGTATGCTAACAATCTGATAACAAGTGCAGAGAAGAGCCAGGAGGAGGAAGCACAGTTAGTGAAACAATCACACACCCACACGATAAAGAGAAGCTAGACCAAAGGGCGGAGAACAGACAGAAATCAGGCCAACACCTAAAAGCACAGGGGACCACAACAAATTTGCCCTGGATATAAAATTGGATTAAAATATTTATCCTAAATTGTTGTTGAACGACTTTTTTCTCTGTCAAGCAAAACCACCTTTTTAAAGGTGGCATTTAAAATTTTTCTAAACTAATGATTAGCCAAAGATTAGGGAAAAGGTAATCTAGTTAACTGGTATTCACAGTCCTTCTCTACTGTCATTAAGTAAGATCTGCTCTGCAGTCTTTTGAATCATTTTTCCGTATTTGAGCTGTTCTGCTCGATATCTGTGTGACTAAAGCCGTGCGTCAACACAGGATGATAAGGGTTACCCAAGGAGAACTGAACAGGGCTGTTGAAGGACATCAACCCAGCAGCAGGACTACTATCTGCTCCTTTGTTTGTGGAGGAACAGGAGGAGGAGCACTGCCTGAGCCCTACAAAATGACCTCCAGCAGGGTACCCGTGGATGTCTCTGACCAAACCTAAGCTAACCTAGTCAGGTTAACTTTAACTGGCCTCTCTGTAGAACGTCTGTGGGATATGTCTCCTCAGATGATCACTGAGCCACTCCCAAACTGGTCATGATGTTGCAGATTTGTTCACACCTGTCACAGGTGCTCAGTGTAAACCTGTGAAGAGAACAGGGTGCCAGTGGTGGACCTGCCAGTTCAATTGCACAGTGCTGGGATGCGAGCAACATAATCGTTGTGCCCTTGTGACACCTTCATGGACTCTGTTTCTTTCAGTGCTCCTCCAGTTTATTGCTCAAAGGAGCAGACACTGGTGCTACTGCTGGGTTTATATCCTTCTCCTCTATCTGTCTTATTCTTACCCCTGTTAGCACTTTAATTTGCACCAAAACAAGTGAAATAGATTCACAGTGGTTTTCACTTCCTTAAATGAACAGACTGATATCCCTGAAGTTTCGCTGACTTTGTGTTTTACTGCGATGAACGAATATTCCTGTAATGTTTTTGAGCAGAGTAGTTCTCAAATGCAGGTCCGGTTCTTTCAGTTACCTGCTTATGTTTGCCCAGCCTGCCGGTAGACAGTGTTACATAACCTGTGTGTGTGTGTGTGTGTGTGTGTGTGTGTGTGTGTGTGTGTGTGTGTGTGTGTGTTACTACATAATGCTGTGCATGTGTGATGTATCTTCTCTTATGAGCCAAACTGACCATTTCCAGAGATGACACACTGTCCAGGAATAACATCTCTTCTCTTTTTAATCTCTAACATTTCACCACTATTACACACACACACACACACACACACACACACACACACACACACACACACACACACACACACACACACACACACACACACACCCTGTTCAGTTGGTTTTGCAGCATGTTCACTTGGAAATCTGACTAACTGGTTACTGTACAGCCAGAGCCCCGACTCCTCTTCCCCTCACAGACTCCCTCCTCAATTGCGGCTTGTTCAGTGAGTTTGTGTGGAGGAGGAAGGGGGTGGGTGGGGGTTCAGAGGAATGTCTGCTTGTGTGTGGGGAAAAGAGGGGTCTCTGTTGAGTGTGTTTGTGTGGACTCTATAGCAAGATTAAAGATGTGTACATGAACTTATTGATGAAAGTGTGTTTTGCTGCTGTGTTTACTCCAATGGGGCCCTGCTGCCTGTCATACAGTGGAGAGTATATGCCAGAGAAGTTCAGGAGAAGATGCTGAAAAAAGGAAATCTGATTTACCTTTACTCTCATTGTGTGTGTGTGTGTGTGTGTGTGTGTGTGTGTGTGTGTGTGTGTGTGTGTGTGTGT